TTATGGAAAATCATTTCAGGCTGCTGTACAATCGTATTCATGGCAACCATCAAATACATAAGTTAGTCCATTACCAGCTAATACGTCAAGAGAGAAGAGGAATGTTCAAGAAGGAAATAAAGAAAATGATTTTTAAAGTAAGAGATTGCCTAATCATAGGCTATATAGGGAGAGTATGCAGTCGATCATGGTGATAACTGATGGGTCAAAGAGATAATAATAATAATAATTAACAATCTGAGCAAAATATTGCGAGAATTTTAATATGAAATTTGAGCGAACACTTACGCATTTGGGGAAGTGAACTACAAAGTGAAAACAATAATCAATCAATAAGAGCAAAATGAATATTAAAGCAATGAAGAAAATCCGAGAAATATTATAGCCACGGTAAATAAGAGATTGAAAGTACCTCCTCTGTACATAGATCTTTGGCTTTAATTGTTTACTGACAACGCTTCCACCATACATAAGTGATGAATCCACACTCCTTCTGACAGTTCAACTCAACTTTGTATATGATTTCCAAAAAAGACCATGGAGAAGTGACATAACCATAGTTAACAGAATCGTCCAAGATGAAACTGGTGCGCGACCTTTGTTTTCTGCTGGATAATCAAGAAGTATAGTGCTTGGATATGTACTTGGGAAGAGTGTGTTGCGTGCAGCCTACATAGCCAACTCCACAACAGCCGGTAACCTGAAAGACACCTATGGATCTGGCCGAAAGTGCCAGCTGGTCTTCAGTTGGAGAAGATCATACACAGCTCAGTAGGACAGAGCTGTTTATTATCTTCAGAAGCGATTTACTATATTTTCTCCCATAACATTCTTTTCCAATGACCTACTGCGGACGTATTAGCCAATAATAAAATTACTTGTTTCTTTGTTAGTGACTACGAATGTGACTGTGCGGCCACTGGAAATGATTTTTCTCGAAGCAAATTTTTCCACACCTAATTACTTTGTGCTAACTTGAATCTCTACGTTTTTAAATGATTCACAAATTGCACAGTTCAAGCTGATATTTATCATAGTTGAGCAGTTTTAGAACTGCCCAACTGTGGTATCAACAGGTTTTCCGTTGGATAGCATCCAGTCAGGGTCATGCAGTGTCATCACTAACACAAAGAAACCGTGAACTAACAAAATCTACTACTGAACAGCGTCCATAGTTAAGAATCATTCATACAGATGCTTATATTCCACTAGCCAGGTCAGAATGTTGTTATTCTGGGGTGCTATTTCGCTAGCTTGGAGCAGCTGTCAGCAGTGGGGTTCCCGGAGTGATTCAGCTCACAGAGCCGAATTGTTCAGATCAATCGAATTTGATTGGCTGATTTGGATAGGCCGGTATACCTTAAGTTAGATGATCAATTTGGAAGTTATCTATATCACAATAAAACAGTTGAAAAACTACGCGGGTTTGAGGAATATTTTGTTGACTATGCAATTTTTCAGTCAATTGCAAATTGATCGACCTATTTAAGGTATACCAGTTTAGCCAAGTCAGCTAATCATTTGAACAGTTCATCTCTGTAGTCTGAGACTGGTCCCAAACGAGTGTAAACATCATTTAGTTTTGGTATCACTTTGACATAGTTGGTTTCCTTTATGAATTTCGACAAAGCAATAAGATGACGTAATTTGTCTGAATCGTGTGCTGTATTCACCTAAAACATTTCGAACAATGAGTGACTTTAAACACCACCCTAGCAACAACTGGAATGATCAGTCAGGCTTTGTATTTCACCTGGGAAAGTACTTTTCCATAAAATAAAGGAATGTAAATAGCTGTCACATTAGTTGTTAGGGCAGCCATTAGAGCTACACAACAGTCTGGTCACATATGTACTTGTCATTTGTACGAAAAATTAGGGTGACTTCAAAGCCGCCCTAGCAACTGATAAGACAGCCAATTTTATTATTTATTAGTCCCTTGGGTTCCTAGTGGAACATAGGGCTTCAGTAGCACGCCTCCAGTGACCTTTGTTCTCTGAGATCTTTTGAACCTGGTCCCACGACAGCCCACAAGCTCTCATTTCCTCCTCGCACGACCTCCTCCATGTCACCCTCGGACGTCCAACTCGTCGCTTCCCATGGGGATTCCACTCGAGCAACTGGCCTGACGCGTGATGTCCTCAGTCGGCCTTCTCAGTTCATGGCCAATCCATCTCCACTTCTTCCTGCATATTTGTTGGGTGATAGGTTCTTGGTTGGTTCGTTCCCAGAGTTCCTTGTTGCTTATTTTTTCTGGCCATCTGATCTTCAGCAGCGAGCGTAAGCAGTTGTTGATGAATGTCTGTAGTTTATTGGAAATACCTTTCTTGACGCGCCAAGTCTCTGAGCCATACAAGAGCACTGACTTGACGTTGGTGTTGAAAATCCGTATCTTGTTCCGCATGCTGAGTGCAGAAGATCTCCACACTGGTTTCAGGCTAATGAACGCCTGTCTTGCTTTTCCGATTCTGACTTTGACGTCCTCGTCCGTCCCGCCAAGACAGCCAATAACATTCCTTTATTTTATGAAAAAGTACTTTTGCAGGCGAAATATCAGAGCCTGGTTGGCCATTTCACCAGTTGCTAGGGTCATCTTTAAAGACACTCAAAAATTACAGAGTTAAGGCGTAGGAAAACAATTATCGGTAAATGAGATGTCTATATTGAAAGTCAAAATAACAGTGAAGATCAATAAAGCAACAATAACAAAAATTTAATCGTACAATAACCTTGGCTTCAAAGCCGAATTTACCAAAGAAGGTTAAGTGTGATGACAAATTGTTTTTGAACGAATGAAGGCAGCTTAAACCTTTGACAGCCAGTCATCCCTCAACACACTTTAAAATATGACTCCAACAGGTCTTATAGATGGGTGTAAATGACGTTTGTACATCCACTTTTATGCCCCATTTCAATATGTTTCGCTATTGAGAAGATAGGAAGTCTGGTTCCAGCATCAACTGGGTCAAGTGACTCCATTCGTTTCTGAAGCCACTTGGGAATATGTTCTGTGGCCCTTATCACTTTAATCTGGCTAGCAAAATTGGCAGTTCAGTGTGAGTTTATTTAACACCTAGGGCGATTATAACTCATATTTTGCCCCAACCCACAAAACTTTATACGGTTCTAAAATAGTTAACAACCTGATTAGTGTTATCATATAGAAGGATTTGTTCTGCAAATCTTCTTCTTGCTTTGATGAGAAGGAACAAGTTAACACGTTGTACAAGAAAGATTTGAAATAATCATGATGACAACAGATTTTTTAGCTGTTTGAGGAGTAAAAAACAAATCTACAAGTAACTTTAGTCAGTACGTCAAGTTGTGTCTTAGTATTACCTGAGTAGGTTATAGTAAAATTTTGTTTAAACACCGAATATTCATAAACTAAAAAAAATAATTTAAACAACAGAAAATGACTATACTTTATTTTTAAGCTGGTATTCATCATGGACTGATATCAGCAGGAGAAACATTGAAAGCCTAGGAACACTGAATAACGGTTTTATCCTAGTAAGAGACTCCCTGGAAGTATGCACTCTCGACCCCACCAGAAATCTAACTTGGAACCATCAGATTGCACGGTCCTGGATTCGATCCATTGAGAGATCGTGGGTGCATCTGCCGAAGAGTCCCTTACTAAGATGAAAATAATTATCCAATGCTCCCACGTTTTCAATGTTTCTCCAAATGATGTCAGTCCGCAATTAATACTACTTTAGAAATACTATTTATTATTTGGAAATTATTTTTACTTCGTAGTCTATGCTAAGTGAATTTCAGTACTACTATACGTGAATGTCCAGTTGCAATATGATATAACTATCTTTCTTTACTTCAATGTCAATAATGTCAAATACTTTGATGACAGTTATCTCCAAAGTCCTTGATTATTCCATGTATTGTCAGTACATGTACTACAAGACTGACCATTGTTGAAAAAAAGACCTTTCGTGTGGCGGAAGGAAATCAAAGATAAAAAGATAATTCAGTCTGCCATCTAGAAAAGTAGTAGAGCAAAGAATTCCATTCATAAGATGCTTATTAAACATCAAAGCCATTACACTATATATGTAAATCAATTCTTTTTAAGCGTTACATGGAGCACAAACTACAGGTAGTGGATGAAAAATACAGCTGTTTTGTAAGATAGTTAAGATCATTTATCAGATATTGGTGTTAGATAGTTTGAATTTGCTCAGAGAAACAAAAATACAAAATAAAGCACAGCCTACACCAGTTTACCATTAGAAGATAACCGTCTAATGTATCTACCAGTTTCTGTGGGTTGTTCGAAGCCTATCGATACAGATCCCAACCAGGTCAATAAGCCAAACAGAAATGCTTCGACTGATATTAGATAGTTTAAGGCAATCGGCAAGAAGCTCTGATTCCCTTTGATTTCGTCCCTGTAGCTACTCACCAGTGAAACATTTCTGCAACTTCAAGACAAGTGATATCCCCTAACAAGGTCGAACTCACGTCACCGTGAACTGCGGTCAGACACTTTACCACCAAGCTATTTTTATCGGAACTGACCTCCTGTGGGACTGGAAACGGGTGGAGTAATGCTTATCTAAGCTTCCGTACTTGTCACCAATCATCAACAAACAGCAGGTTCAACCTTGAAGAGATAACTTCTTCTAAAAGTTCTAAAACACATAAATTAATTGTAAAGTCAGAAACTTCACTGACAAGGTATTGAGGTGACAATTACTCCCACTCATCGTGTAAGTGAATTATGCACACCAATTAAATACAGGATAACAGCGGTTCAGTCATTAAAAAGCCTATGAATTTGGCATGATAACTTGGTTTGTTAGGGTTTCCTAATGATTTATCTTGAGTGTTTAGCCCCAAAACACAACTTAATCCTGTCTGCATGTAGAACTATTCAAAGTCACCTTTCAATATTACTTCAGACGACTTTTCTAATGTTTCAATAACTGTTCTTCTCCTTTAAATTTACTCTTACCTTTCTTCTCTCTCGTTTCTCTTAGATTTTAGCTTGCTTGTTATCTCTACTCAGTCTATTATTATTTATTATCGGTTCTGTGAGTACATCATGGATTTATATTCAATTTAAATCAATTGGGTTATTTCAACAATGCGATGTTGTAATAAAACAAACAGATAGTGAAGCACCATCAAGTATTAATACTGTTCAACGTCTCAGTGATGTTGAAAGGACTTGTCAATATCGTGATTTTTTAAATAGTAAGTTGTTTTTCATTTATTTAACTCACATGTGAATTGAATTTTCAATGCTTTTTTCCTCACAGTAATAAAAATCATGCTGCTATATTTAAAGAGGTTGGAAATACATAACAGTTGTCACAACTGTAAATCAAAATTACGTTACTTGGCTTCTGTATAGTAGGACAGTAGTGGTGCACAAAGTTACATCTTGCGTTTGCAATTCCATCAGGAATCATTTACCAGTATTGCAAAGACAACAGGTTGTTTGGATGAAGTGTGTTGTATTCCTGTGGTAATGACACTACGTTTTGTTTCCAAAGTGTATTCGTCACACTATGAATTATTAACCGCCAAAGACTTTGAGCCCAGTTTAGATATTGTGGAAATCGCTCGAAGTAGATTTTAGAACTTTTGGGCAGTTCCTAAAAATCCACAGAATTCATACCCAAAATGTTCAGAGAAACTTCATTTTTAAGATATAATTTTTGTTAAAGGCTTCTTTCCTGTGATTTCTTCGACTTATTCACCGATATGCATATTGATTTAATCAAAGGATTCTCGGGAAATCCTGGTGAATGGGATCTGAACAGTAGGTAGCTGTTAAAATAAAACTGTTTACAGCTATCTGGATGCATAAATGCATAGAAGTGGACTTAACATTTCTGTTTGAACCACATTCAGAAATTCAGAAACTCTCTTACAATATGCATAATAAATTTGTGATGAATTGAGACTATCTTTGGTCAGACATTTGACGCATACATTGCTAAATGAGTTACGATAACTTCAGTCCACGAAAAGTATCTTCATGGGTAACTATATCCTCATTAGTTATTCCTGTCCTACGCCATTATGAGGGATGATCGGTTATCACTTAACCACTGCTGAGTTTATGCTGTTATGTATATCCTAGTGTAAGTACATGTATTTGGTGTTGTGTGATTGAGCTTGATAGAACTGTTTATTGGAACTGTGGTTTTGGTATGGCTTGAAGTACATATATTACAATTGCAATTCTTGTTCTTCCTGTGTCATTCTGAATTAGAAGTTCTAGTGAATACTACGCGCAGGAGATAAATTCATTATTTTATCTCGAAAACAGCAGACAAGTAACCTCTAAATTATTTTACTATTTCATATTTATAAACACAAAACTACTGAAATGCGTATTCAAAGCTGTACCACCCTGGTTAGCTGTTGAAAGGTCATTTGGTTGGTTGTCGATTTTAGCCATATACTTTATCTCCGTCATGAAGAGGTGAGATGCTGACTAGCGAACGACTTTCCGATAGATCAACTGGTAAACTTAGTGACTGAACAATCAATTAAGTTACATGCTTACTATCTAGGTGGCTTTTCTGACAAGAAATTTAAAACTTTCGATAATGATCGAAAAAAGGAACTTAAGACAAGCACTTTAGTATGATTATACGGTTCAGAAGAAGAGCTCTGTATCGGCCTTTAAGGTATTTTTTAATGATTTTTGGCTCTTAAAAAAACTGTCAGTTTAAGGAAATCAATCGTTTTAGCTGGACTCCACCTTTTGGATATCAAATCACTTGCTTCATTTTTGACTTATGGACATTACGAAATGACTTTAAAAGCTACCCTAGCAACAGCTGAAATAACCAGGTTTTTTATTTTGACTAGATACAGTACAGCAGTAACTGATTTTACTCTTACCATCATTTAACAGACATTTCTGGAATAGTATGACCTAATGGGATAGTTATCTCAACCAAAAAGCTCTCTGGATCATCGTAATAGTTAGACCCGACCACCACATCTACTCCATGTGATTCATCGCGTTAGAACTGGGAACACTAATGCTGTACATTATATACCAACAGAGAGCATGAGTACTTAGATATCATTCATGCTAGTCAGTAATCCTTGCCAGTAGTAGTATTCCGCCACTATGTATTCAAAACAGTTACCCTGATTCTGCATTTCACTGTTTCACTCAAATACTTTGTCTGAATAAGGATGGTTTAAACATTTCATCTCTTTGGGTGGAACTGACTGAGGCACACTAATGATAACTCCAACTTATAATATTAAGAGGTAGCTGTTTAGTGATTTCATCACCTTCGTTTGACTGATGACCTCTGGTGGTTGAGTGACTCAATAGAGTCAAAAACACACGTTTTGTCTTACTCCGGACTCACTAACTGAATAAACCTGCGTCTCAGTGAGTAATGAGTGTTCTCAATTCCAGCTACCATCAGTCGAATTGCATCATGATGAAACTCGAGGAAGTATTGAGGTACGCTTGTAGGTATCCATAAGTCAACAGAGAATAATCAACCAGCCTATCATACCAATCAGCAGGATACCAGTGGTATCAATAAATATATCCCACAGTTTGCATGACTGATATTCATAAAAGTGTAATATCATTTAATTTCCATAATCCATTGTTCCTTCTGTCTTTTTTCTCATTTTCTAAAGTTGAGATAATAGCTTGTATTATATTAGATTTGGTAGCCTTACTTCTCACTTTGCTTGGCTGCTCTTTCCTACTTGGGGGAATATTCGCAATGAACATTAGGCGTAAACAAATCTTTTATCAAACATCAGTTATCCTAAATATAATTGCTTGTAAGTGTATAGTTTTCGCTTAAAAATATCTCATTTTGTTACTATGATACTGACTACATTATTTTATTTTTGAGCTGCTTTCAGTTGACTGAAAATAATCAGTAAGTTACAAGGTCTACACCGTGAGTGACTCTAAAAGCCACCTTAGCAAGACTAAAGTAACCAATTAGAGTTCTTTGTTTGTTTCTACTGAAAAGGTAGATTTTCATAAAACAGTGGAGTTCACTTAGTTGTTTCATTTGGTGGACTTTAGTTTTACGACAACAATGTCAGGCTATTACAGCTGACCACCAAATAAACACTTGAAAAATGCTTGGGACTACACATTACAGTTTGAGGACATATTTGAATGATTAAAACAACGTCAAAAAGTTAATTCGCTGCAATATATTTGGTAGCTCAAACTTTACGTAGTCATTTGAAACATTCAAAGCTAGGTTTCTAAGCTCAGAGAACACTAGAACAGGATTTTGACCGTAGCTTTCTTCGTAGCATTCTTCAATTATGTTGGAACTTTTTTTTGAAGTGTCAAGTTTATATATTATATATATTATTAGTCCCTTGGGTTCCTAGTGGAACATAGGGCTTCAGTAGCACGCCTCCAGTGACCTTTGTTCTCTGAGATCTTTTGAACCTGGTCCCACGACAGCCCACAAGCTCTCATTTCCTCCTCGCACGACCTCCTCCATGTCACCCTCGGACGTCCAACTCGTCGCTTCCCATGGGGATTCCACTCGAGCAACTGGCCTGACGCGTGATGTCCTCAGTCGGCCTTCTCAGTTCATGGCCAATCCATCTCCACTTCTTCCTGCATATTTGTTGGGTGATAGGTTCTTGGTTGGTTCGTTCCCAGAGTTCCTTGTTGCTTATTTTTTCTGGCCATCTGATCTTCAGCAGCGAGCGTAAGCAGTTGTTGATGAATGTCTGTAGTTTATTGGAAATACCTTTCGTGACGCGCCAAGTCTCTGAGCCATACAAGAGCACTGACTTGACGTTGGTGTTGAAAATCCGTATCTTGTTCCGCATGCTGAGTGCAGAAGATCTCCACACTGGTTTCAGGCTAATGAACGCCTGTCTTGCTTTTCCGATTCTGACTTTGACGTCCTCGTCCGTCCCGCCTGTAGTTGAAACAGTGCTTCCTAGATAAGTGAAGGAGGTTACTTCCTTTAAGTTTCTCCCGTTGACGGTGATTGGAGTTTGTTGTTGTTGTTGATGGTGGTGGTGCGGTATCTTCATCACTTCTGTCTTCTCTATATTCACCTGGAGTCCCGTCTTAGCTGCCTCTTCTATCAACTTGTTAGTTTTTGCCTGCAGATCTTCAAGTTTATGTGACATTAGGCACAAGTCATCGGCGAAATCCAAGTCTTCTAGGTTCTTTTCCGTCGTCCAGTGTATCCCCCTCTTCTCGCTCCCCACCGTTTGCTGCATGATCCAGTCCACCACAATCAGGAATATCATGGGGGATAGTAGGCAACCTTGTTTCACTCCTGTCTTCACTTCAAAAGCATCACTGAGCTTCCCATTGTGGATTACTTGGCATGTGGCATCTTCATATAGTTGTTGAATGAGGCGGATAAAGGTTTGCGGTACTCCGTAGTATTGAAGCAGTTTCCAAATTACTTCTCGGTCGACGCTGTCAAAGGCCTTCTCAAAGTCGATGAAGTTGAGGTATAGAGCTGATTGCCATTCTATGCTCTGTTCTATGATGATACGAAGCGTTGCAATTTGGTCTGCACATGATTTGTACTTCCTGAAGCCTGCCTGTTCCGGTCGTAGTTTTGAATCCAGTGCATCCCTTAGCCTCTCCAGGATGATGCGGCTTAATATTTTACTTGGGGTGGACAGGAGAGTGATTCCGCGCCAGTTCTTGCAAGCACTGAGGTCTCCCTTCTTCGGCAGTTTGACAAGGTAACCCTTCTTCCAATCGTCAGGTACCTTCTCTTCCTTCCACACCTTCTGCAATAGTGGTGTGAGCATGGCCGCTGTTGTCTCTGCATCTGTTTTCAGTGCTTCTGGCGGTATTCCATCTGGTCCTGCTGCTTTCCCGCATTTCAGTAGCTTTATGGCGTTCAGGACTTCCATTTTCGTTGGGGGATTAATGTTCACTTGTAGTTCAGCGGCTGCAGGTGGTATTTCTGGACGAAGTGCAGGTGGTGGTCGATTCAAGAGCTTCTTGAAGTGGTCGGCCCATCGTTTCCTCTGTTTCTCTTCTTTTGTAATTAAATTTCCTTCTTCATCTTTTATTGGTTTCATCTGTGTTGGTCTCTTCCCTGATAGCAACCTGGTTATTTGATACAATGTCGTCAGGTCTCTCCTACCTGCAGCCTGTTCTGCTTCACTTGCCAGTGTTTCGTAGAAGTGTCTTTTGTCTTTGCGTGCACTCTTCTTCACTTCTTTGTCCAGTGTTTTATACATTGTGCTCAGTTCCTCTTGTCGTTGAGCATCCTTGCACTGGTTTATCTTCTGCTTCACCATCCTCCTCTCCTCTATCAGCTTCCAGGTATCCGTCGAGATCCATTCCTTGTCTTCTTTCTTCTCCCTTCCTAATACTGTTGTGCAGGTTTCTTTCCACATAGCTTTCAAAGACTTCCAGTGTTCTTCCACACAGGTTTCTTCAGGGATGTTGCTCGATGTCTCCCATTTTGTCTTGATGGCTGCTTTGAAGAGCTCCTTTGTAGTTTCATCCTTCAGTTTCCGAGTGTTGTACTTGAACTGTGGTCTATCACCAGCTTCCTTGAAGGTTTTCAACTTGATTTGGAAGAAGGTTCCGTGTACTAGATAGTGGTCTGAACCTACATCTGCTCCTCTTCTTGACCTTGTGTTAAGTAGACTGCGTCTCCATTTTCTTGAGATTGAGATAAAGTCGATTTGATTTTTAGTGTGTCCATCTGGTGAAATCCATGTCGCTTTGTGGATATCTTTGTGCCTGAACACACTGCCTCCAATCACCAAATCGTTGAATGCACAGAATTCTGCAAACAATTCTCCATTCTCATTCATTTCACCTAGCGCCTCTCGACCCATGGTTAGTTCTCTTCCCGTGTTGTCCCCTCCCAGTTTGGCATTCATGTCGCCCATTAGAATTTTGATATCGCCAACTGACGTCTTGTCCAGTGTTGATTGAAGTTGTCTGTAGAATTCCTCCTTTTTCTCTTGCTCTGCATTATTTGTAGGTGCATAACATTGTATGATTGTGACCTTTCTTCCTTTTGAGTTGAATCTTGCTGTCATGATCCTGGAGGAGATTGGTTCCCACTGCATGAGAGCCTTCGATGCTCTTGAGGACATCATGATAGCCACTCCATAACTCAGTGTGCTCGTGGTTGGCGTCTGGGTGACCGGAGTAGATTATTGATTCTCCAGTTGACAGTTTGGAGAGTCCACTCCCATTCCATCTGCTTTCGCAAATCCCAAGCACTTCGATGTTATACCTTCTCATCTCCCTTGCAATCTGGGCTGCCTTACTGGGTTCAAACATCGTGCGGACATTCCATGTCCCCACGTTTACTTTCGCTTTCATCGAGAGAAGAGGAGACACATCGGCCAATTGGCTTCCCGAAGGCTTTCACCAACTGGCGTCATTTCGCCTCTCCGATTCCAGCGGGGAATAAGTTTGTTTTCATTTTTTATATTTTGTTTGTGCTTTGAAGTTTGTTTAGCGGTTAGATTTGTTTTACGGTGTAGGGTTGCTAGCCCTATGCCCAACCTTCCCTCTTTACCCGGGCTTAGGACCGGCTAGTAACTAGTAAACTAGTTAACCAAGCGAGGTTGAAGTGTCAAGTTTAAGTGTAGAATAATAGGGGAGAAAGGTAATTCATTCTACCAACATGTAATGTTAGCCAAAGTAGGACTGCGTTGGGAAGAGGCTAAGGCTGACTGGGCCAATGCGTGGTACTGGCACATGAAATCTGATCAAAGAGATTCTCACAAATTTTATCGAAAACTGCACAATTGGAATAGACAGTTAGTTCCAGTCTACTATAGTACATTGTCTTACTTACTTACATTACCAGTATTTAATTACAGTAAACAGAGAAACGAAGGTTTAAGCTGACTAATGTACCAGCTTTCTACAAACATACACAATCGTCTACAGACCTTGGGTATGGTTTCAAAGGTTTGTCCTTTTTCAAGCCTAATGACAGTATTAGTGTACACCTTTGGATGGGCAACACCTCTAACAATTGCCTTTAGTATCAGCTACTTAAAGACTCAACGAAAACGTGTTTTATTCTTTTCATAAAATCTCATGGAGCGAAACTGTTTTTATCCAGTTCACATAAGTGTATGTTAATGTATACTATGAGACAATCCTTGAAATAAATAAGTATCAAATAAAACTGTTAAGGCTATTTATGCAGTATTGAGCAGTCTCATTAGAGCAATTCCATCCCACCATCTGAAAGAGACTGTCACCTAATGAAATCGAAGTGACCACTAAAAACAACTCTGATGGTAAAAACTTGATTCACCAAGAGGAACGACCATGCCTAAATTTGACGACGTTTACCAGTTAGTATCAGAAGTTAGAAGTGTTTAATTTGAAAAAACGAAACCTGAACTTCGAGACGAAACACACTCTGCAGGTTACATCATTTGAAATGACCCGACTAAGCGGGCATAAATAGCTTTTCGATTTTCTTGAGCATACAAAACAGTGATTGGATGGAGTTTTGTGTTGTCAATTCTTGAGGGTAGATGAAGAAGGCTACTATACAGATCCACTTATGCTAATGTTTACCTCCTTCATGTAGATTTGTACCCATGTTTATGAATATAGTTGTCGTAAGGATCATTACAGCAGAATTTCTTGATATCCATTTCTAATCGAGTCAACCACAGGATAGACTAAATCCTAATGGTGTTTCAATGACATAGAATACCGGACACTTTAGAACTAAACTACGCGCATTACTCTAGTGAAGTCAAATAACTATTAATTAGACGACAGGAGTGATTTAAAAATATGAATGTTAGTCGTAATGAAAAGAATCTAGTAAAATATTTTTGTGCACTAATATGTATGAGATCTATCCAGAAGTAACTGTGCGTCTTTTTCTCCATGTAAGTGTTTTTTCCAGTACATGTTACTATACGATGTGGATCAGTGTAAAATAGACGAAAACATTCATTGTGTTAAATGTTGAATGCTATTTCTGCAATTTTGTCACATTTGTCTTTGTGGCGCACTCCAAAAATCGAATCTGCAATGGTTCAGCAGGACTTCACCCTCATTAAAAAAAGGAACGGTTGATTAGCCTAACGAAGAAATACTCACAGACTACAGACAAACAATCCACACCAGTTAGTCAATTCACATCAGCATAGAATCAGGTATTACTGAGTAACAATTCAAGTTGCCACACCTCAAATCAGCATGTCAAGGTAGAAGGCACTAAGATAAATTAAACTGAAATAGGGAAGAAAGTAGTCAAGGTAGTAGTAGAAAGCTGCAAGAAGATCGGAAAAGTGGTCTAAATAAATTTAAAAAAACATGATACGACGAACAAGATGGAGAGATTTTGTTGATGCTTATGCGCCACAGAGATTGACCATTGTTCAGAGATTTCAGAAAGTAATGTCAAGTTGTACAACCACACCAGTATGATAGTATAAAATGTAACTAACTTTCAGTAGTTGAGTAAATGCTGTGAAACCCACTCCACTTTCCTAGCTTAATTAAACACCTTATAGCGCCTAGAAAGTATCATCCTTATTTATTGATGCTTCTAACTTCCCGTTGATTGTGCTATTGGATCGAACTGATCGCTCATTGGTGACAGATGGCTTTCATGACTTTGTAGCCCAGTGAAGAGCATTCTGGAGTTTGAGGCGATAGGTTCTGCATTCCATTCTCAATGAGAACGACCATTGTTCACTAGGCAGTGTGTCCACCAAAGTGATGAGTCCCCAACAGGAAGAAATATGCGTACTAGATTCCGCTGCTGGCCAGCAACAAGCAAATAAGCATCAGTATGATTACAAAAACGTAATAAACTTAGAAGTTACACGTAAAACGTTTTGCTTTATTTTTCATGATTGTTGCTTGTGTTATTGCCCACTTTCAGGTGTCGCAATGTTGTTAGGACTGATTCTATTGGTTGTTACAAGCATTGAAGAGGGAGGTGAAAAAGTTTCACCCGACAGTCCAGCAATAATCACCGTTGGCTGGTCATTAATTGTTGTCTGTTGTGGTATTGTCATCCTTGGAATTGCAGTCTGTCTTGTGTTATTCGACAAAGGTGGCGAAGAGATTGAATACCGTGAAACAATTCATCGATCGTCGAATTGCGAAGAAGATGCTTAGAATAAATGGATGAATACAAATACAAAAGAGAAAGCTGGTAATATGTGAACTGTACCCATTGTGTTACCAATCCGCTTCAATTAAACACATATACATGTATACAGGAATTTCAAACCATCCTACGCACATGCACAGACACAAACAAAACGAGAATTCCATTATATTCAGATTATATTCAATTGACCAATTGGTATCAGTTTTGTTGAAATTGATCAATAGAAAGTTTTCTGTGTTTTGGAGTATTTGATTTTTTTTCGTAATGCGATTTTACACAGGCGTCTTCACAAAAATCAAACTTTTAGTGCAACAGAAGAATCAGTGTATTGATTTACACAATCGATATAGGTGTCTGTTCATTTTTTCCATACTACTTAGAAATTTGTTTTTAGATAAATTAAATTTTTGGACACTTTCCGGCATAGAAATATCATTAGCAGAATAATTAGTGTGGAAACAGAAACTTTTCGACTTTGACAAGAGGGAACAGGCAAAAAGTACATGGGTTCGAATCTCTGTTGGGATAAAATTTCCCTAGAGGTTGAAGATTATCATGCCAATGAGTGCCAAAAAACACGACGGCTTCAGACAGATTGGTTCTAACCAACATGAAGCTGGATCTACCTGCCTCTCAGTCAGCGATTTTGTTTTCATTAAGACTCGAACCAAGGGCAGATGGCTTCAAACGCCATGGCGTTATCCACTGAGTCACGATAGCGTATAACATTACAAGCAATAATAGGAATTCCTTTAGTTGAGTTTTCATATAGGGCAACTGACCTTTTGAATTCTACCAGCAACCATGGTGAGAAAGTATAACATTACGAGGGAGTTATCATCCTGAAATGGAGCTAGAACGTGAGCTTTAAAAACAAGAAGCACTGGATTGACACTTCATCCTAACCTCGACATCACACTAGTTCAAACTAGAGGCTATCAAATCAGTGAGTATCGCTTAAGGTATCATAGAAATTACGTAAAGATGACTGAGTTTGAATAACGAGTTGAGTAACATGACAAAATGTTTAGTGGGTGAATTGTTATCAGAATGGGTATAGGAATAAGGAATAGTTAATAGTATGTAAGAAATGAATGGAATGAAAGAGTTAGAAGGAGGGTGAGGAATGCTTTGAAACCTTAATGATCAAGACCGTGAAACGATCAAGGGTCCAGAAGTCACTTACAGATCCAAAGTTCTGGTTTCCCTATCTGAATTGCTAAAGCTTCAGCACTGTAACGGAGGCGGATATGCACTAACTTTGGCAAGTTTCTTTTCACTTCGTAAACAAACTTGTGATTGAATGATCAATATCGATAAGGTGTTCCATTGTCTCACTTCTCAAAGATCTACTTTTACGTCTTTTTAACCACGCACGATAATGTTCTTGAACCCTTTTGGACAGGCTCCATGTCGAACAACCGATATAGCCGGTTCCACAAGAGTAGGTGAACTGATATACACACATAGAGATGGCAAGATGCAAGATCTTGTCTTTCAGATAATTGGTAAATAAGCGGCAACTACAGAACACCACTCTGATAGTTGTTATAAAGTAAGTTCTATTTTGGAAGCTCGAAATCCGTCTCTTTAGGATGTCACCGACTAGATCACCTTTGCAGTCAGTGTTCATGTTTAGTATTTTTTAGCATCTTTTTCGATACGGAAGTTGAGTCATGTTTTGGGGGTTTTAGTTTCATGTTTCTACCTATGAACCGTGGTGGAAATACATTTTCAAACAATTTTTTTCTGAGAATGTTTATCTCTTTATCTATAGCACAAGGGCTACAGATGCGTCAGATGAGAGTAAAAAAGGACAAAGTTAAGTTTTTCTCTCAAACAATGAGTACTCAGCTGTAGAAGTTTGTCAGTTACCCATTCCATGTGAACGCTTTTTGGACCAACCTCTTTCTCGTTAGTTCTACATTTAGATAAGAAATTTTCAGTTGCTTTTTCATTTCAACAGTGAGTTTTATCGTCGCGTGCTGGTTATTAAATACGTGTAATACATCATTAAAGTCATATGTATTGTTATTAATAAGGAAAATGTCGTCGACATACCTTTTGCACAGCTGATTTCAAACTACCGTGAAACAATCTGCCATTTATAGGCCTATGGGGCATCCCATAGCAACTCCGTTTAACTGTCTGCATATTGTGTTGTTGAAAGTCAATTGTACATCAACAGCGCATCTTAACAGTGATTCCTTCAGATGAACAGTTAGTATTTCAATGATGAGGTCGCTCTCATCTACATAATTACATATAAAACAAATAGTTTACGTGAGTGGAACAATGGTGAAGAGTGATTCGATGTGAGTGCTATCATACGCTTATGTGAAACATTGGTTTTCTTAATACAGTCGATGAATTCAAAGGATTCCACAAGGAAGTAAATGGCAAACTTGTCTCTTCACAGGTCCTAGAATATCATCTAACGACTTACCGATTGGATGATAGGGTGCCGCAGATATGTTCAGGATCAAACAAAGCAGAAGATGCAGTTTTGGAAAGTCATAAAGTTATAATATCATTGAATCTGTTGGTCTAATTCTCTCATAAAGATGTTCACTAATTAAATAATTATTTTTCAGTCTTTTCAGTCAATTCTGCTCTATTTCTTTTGTTAGTAGGCTTGGAAAATCTTTTGTTGTCTGTGAGTAGATTTGACATTTTCTCGATGTAATCAATTCTATCTATGAGAACTAAGCTTTTGCCTTTGTCAGGACGTGTTAATAGTAAATCCTGGTTAAATCTTAGTTGTTTAATTTGATCACGGTGCTGCTTTGTTAAAAGATAACTAACTTTTGATTTCATGATACTCATGGCAACAGTCAGTGATGGTTGAGTGAAGAGTTGGAACTGTTGGTCAGAAACTGAATTCTATGCTTGTATAAAGCTTGTTGACTTTGGAGTTAATATCACGCAATTATGGACCGATGAACAAGGCTTCCAACTGTAAGGTGGACAAAGATGTCAACCAGTGAATGGAATCAACTCGTTAGTCAAACTTCATCGAATGTATTTAATTTGAATGATATCTTGAGTAATACTCACTAATCTGAGGAAATATGAATTTTTATGTCATGACAGTGTGTGTGCGCGTTACTATGCTTTTTGATTACTTTCCAACATTCATAAACATACGATAACTTTAAAGGCTACCCTAGCAACTGATGAGATAGCCAATTAAATTCCTTTATTTTATGAGAAAGCACTTTCTCAGGAGAAAACTGAATCCTGATTGGTAATTTCAGCAGTTGCTAGGCTGCCCTTTAAAGTCGGTGTAAAACTTGGGTACTGTAGTAGAATTTAATCCCATATTAGATTTGTTTATTTGGTTTATAATCCACAGTGACATAGTATTATTTACTTGATGACGTTAAGAGCAAAAATTATTGTTCATAATCATATCAATAATTATGAGCACTAATTTTTGCTTGGAACGCCATCAAGTAAATAATACTATGTCACTGGGCCTTTAAAGTCACCCTAAGCATTTTGATTATTTTAGGATGATAATGTAATTTGACTTTTTGTTCGCACCACCTTACTTGTTGCCATGCCTAACTAACTATTTTTACACATGAAGCAAGTTGAACATTCTCACCGAAAAATTCTACATAAGATTGTGCAGCTGAGTGGATAAATTCGTTGAGAGTCTGTTTGTTAAACCACAATCAGATCTCTCGGCGAACATCTAACTACTTAGCCAATAATAAAAAATTCAGATGTTCACAGTCCTCAACTCCTCTTGATTCTCGAAATGGAGCCGCTACCATTCAACATCATCTGTGGGCATCCTTTCCTCAGTTAGATTTACCTATACCTTCCCATGAGAACTGTGAACTGGAACGCCTGAAGTTCTAGTGGGAAGCCATTACCTATGAGGTGAGTGAAGTCAGAGGTTAGAACAGATTCCCACTCATGATATTGGATAATAACCGAGCCATGTCATCAGTCATCAGTAGTTGGAAAACACGATTTTCTGGATTCCAACCAAGTAGCTAACATTTTCACTGTCAGCCTTTGGTTCCAGTCTATGTGGGTATTTGGTGTGCCTCGTTGACTTTTTTACCGGCTGCTCTGTAAATTAAACAAAGTGATTGAGAAATTTTCACCAAAATACTAATTGGTGGTAGCATGGGTTATGTTACTGCTACTCAAATGGATTAGAGGAGAAAGATACCTTGCTGATTACCGCTCCCAATTCAGTCTTAACCCAGATATCCGTAATTCTCTTTTATTAATTCTTCATAACAGGTTTCTGAGCGCCATTGTCTTCGTAGTATTGCACATATATGATGGAATCATTGTTTTGGCAGTGTCGAGGCTCGGCGAAGTGTACTGGGAAATACAGGCAAGTCAGTCGATGAGGTTGTGAAGCTGAAGCGACGGTGTCTTGGGCATATGTTGTGCATGTTCAGACACCAAATACCTCAAGGCTGAGTGTCAGTCGCAATAAGATTGGATCAGGAAAGCATAAGGGTGGTTAGACTAAGACGTGTGACTCATCCATAAGGATCTTAACTGTCGTTCTGAGCTGTGTTGGGAGGTATGACTAAAAAATGTTGAATTGAAATGTACTAAGCAACCTTGTACACATTCGTGCAGTATGTAGTGAGCCATACAAATCGTGAGAAGGAAAGTGATAATACCTGGCTGCCCAAACAGTGGTGAGTGGAGAGTCAGTGACCCGTGGAATGAAAGTCAACTCCCTAAACCAATGAGCGACAACTAATCGTAGACTGACTGGTCGGTATCCTCGGGATGAAGAATTCATTGGTTGTAGAAGCTTTGTTACATTGCTAACAACTGATTACAGTGGCACAGATACATTCACTCTTTATCATCGAAAGTTTGAGCATTTTCAGTGACCATCTATTTGTTCTCTCTTATCTCATCCACACTTGTTCATGTCAGTATCACTTTTTCTACGTTTCTTCTTCGTATGTTGTTATGAAGTGTTCCAACTTGAACCGATGCATCTCTGTGCCACTGTACG